TCTTCAAGATACATCCATGTAACTTTTTCAAGCTTCCAGTCTATCTTAGCCAAGAGATTTTTGGTTTCAAGTCACAGAAACCTTCCATTTAACAGGTTTAAACTATAAGGAATTTATTATCTAATGAGACAAGTTCAGAGGAAAAGTAGTTCCAGGGCTAGTTAAGTCAGTAGCTCAAAAATATCTTAAGAATGTAAGTTGGCTGGATGCGGTGGCTCATGCCTGCAATCCCAGCACTTTGGGAGGCCGAGGTGGGTGGATCACAAGGTCAAGAGATCGAGACCATCCCGGTCAACATGATGAAACCCCTGTCTCTACTAAAAAATCCAAAAAAATTAGCTGGGCATGGTGGTGTGCACCTGTGGTCCCAGTTACTCAGGAGGCTGAGGCAGGAGAATCACCTGAGCCCAGGAGGTGGAGGTTGTAGTGAGCTGAGATCACGCCACTGCACTCCAGCCTGGTGACAGAGCAAGACTCCATCTAAAAAAAAAAAAGGGAACATAAGTTATTTCTATCTTTCTGTTTTGCTGGTCTCTGCATGGCAGCTTGGTTCCCAGGCAAACTCTCCTTATGGTGGAGATCTCATAAGAAAACTGCCACTGTTAGCCATTTGTATTAATCAGCTTTTGCTAGATTATGGTGCTATAATGAACAACCCCCAAATCTCTGTGACTTTAAATAAGCATCCAGAATGGTACTCTTTTTAAGATAAAGTAAAAATGTTCCAGAAACCCTCTAGCAGGCTTCCCTTCAGAAGTACTGCCCTTTGGACAGTACTGTATCACATTTACATGACTGAAAAAAATCACTGGCAGTCATCATTGTCTTTGCTCATGTAAAACTCACTCCTTGAAGATGAAGGAAGGGCTGGCTGTCCTGAAGCAAAGGTGTGCACAGAAGAGTAACCTCTTTTTATTTTACTTTATTTATATATTTATTATTTTATTTTATTTTATTTATTTATTTTTTTTGAGACAGAGTTTCACTCTTGTTACCCAGGCTGGAGTGCAATGGTGCAATCTCGGCTCACCGCAACCTCCGCCTCCTGGGTTCAGGCAATTCTCCTGCCTCAGCCTCCTGAG